GCCGCCTACAGAAGCTAGAACACTTTTCCCATCAGGTCAGTTTTAAGTGCAGTGCTTCATGACTATTACTTGTTTATTTTTAACAAAGATACGAAGACAAAGGTGAGTTACCTTGTTTTAGAAGCCAGTTTTCCTGTGTATTTGATACTGCCTTTTGAAGAAGGCTATGCAAACCATTAAGGGGAAAAACAAAACCAAACTTAAATATACATTCCACTATTACTTGTGCTACTGCTACTCTTAGATCCATTTTTGTTGAAGCAACAGTAACCCAGGTTTATCTTCCCTATCCCTACACCAGCTTTGAGTTTGAAACTTGGTTCCTGGCTTCTCAGACATACTGCTATGTATTGAATTATATTATTTACTGAATGGGCAAAGGAAGATACCTCCAGAGATTAAAACAACGTTTAAGGTAAGAATATCAGTCAGAAAAATGAAGGAGGTATCTTACCATCTGCATGCTTACTACCAGCAACACAATGTATGCCTGGCAACCAGTAACTGGACAGATCAGAGCTGTCTAAAATCCTAGGGCATGGCAATGGGACTGCAAGCATTTAACAGCCAGAAAGCATTTTACTTGTTATAATCCATTTTCTAAAAGTGAGAAAATCAAAGGCTGTAGCTGTTAGCAGGACTATAACTAGCCTTCCCTGCTGCAATTCTGGACAGCTTCTTAGGAACAGGGTTTCACAATGGAAGCTAGCAAGGACAAACTTTAAAATGCTTACCATGCTACAGACATAACCTACCTTACTGGAAACTACAACTCACCAGAACTGGAGGGGTGTTTGGTTCTTCATGATATTGGCGAATTCTTTCCTCTCTCGTTTCCTGCAGTAAGAAGTGTAGATTTAGCTGCCCAGAGAGTGAAGTAGAACTTCCATTCAAGTAGTATAATATTGAGCAACATCTTAACATTGAACAAAGCAGGCATTCCCATCCAAAAGAATGTTTTGATTAGACTAATGTATGGACAAAAGTGGCAGGATTGGCTTTAGTAAATAGATTTACCCTTGATCACTAGCAGCAATTGCTGTAGGTTGATCAAATAGAATCTGCACGGTCCCAAGCCTGAAAACGTTTCCAGTCAATTCATTCTGATTTTTTTATTTTTTCAAACATTCTTTATGTCCTCACTCAAAATAAGAGTACTGAGGAAGGTGGTGAAAGCAGATGCATGCGCTGCCTCGTTCATGAAAGATGATAGCCATAGATTTCTACTACTTATCTGTTTCATCTTGAGTAGGAATTATCTGAAGAATTTCCTTCTCTGAATGGTTCCACTATGTTTCCTGGGTGCTACTGCTTTTGAAGCAATGGTAGTTAAAGAAATCAAACGTAGGAATATAGCAGGCATTTGGTGCAGCACAGAGCTTCCACAGCCCTCTCAGTAAAACAGCAAGAGTTATTTACAGGGAAAGACTGGCTTATCTAGAGACAAGCAAGTAGGTTCCGCCCTAGTATTACTGTTGCCAGCTCCCCTTCCTACTCAAAAGCTTTAGGAGGGACTGAAGTCTTATTGCCTCTTTGGCATTTCCATCTGCTCTAGGGAACAGTTGTTAGTCATTGTCTGGCTTTGTAAGCCCTTGCACATGCATGCTATTGTTAAACCTTTGCACTCTGTGTTAACTCTGGCATGTTTTACTTACGCCCATGTGAGTACTTTTAACATCTGGATCCAGGTAGTGAGGGTTAATGTTAAAAGGAACTAAACCTAGGGCTTGCAGGGAAGGTGGATAAACAATTGGCATGTCATTGGTAGTGTTGATGCTGACAGTAGCAACGTTAGTTCCTGCACTGGATCCCATGTAAGGAATCCCATCCTGAAAGACAAAAGCAATGATTAGTATGCAGTATCACAATTGACAACTGCATGTTATAGCATCTTTTGTCAAAATTGGAGACTCAACAGCAAAGACATCTAGCTCATTCTGCTGCTAATTTTACAGGCGAAAAGCAGAAATACAATAGCTCAGTGTTTGTGGTGGGAGGTAGTTTATACATATCATGGTTGTCAGAGAGCCAACTATTGGATGTCACTGTAGACATTAGACTTTGCTATTAAGAGAGGAGACTTATCTACGTTGCAGTTGTAGAAAATATCTGGAATAGTTGAACTATCTGCTCTTCAGGAGATCAGATCTGAAGCCAAGAACCATGCTGATGCACCAGAAATTTGTATATTAAGATGGGCCTACCTGACCTTTCTTCTTGTCAGCTGGCCTTTTTAAACATAAAATGGCTTGCATAAATTTGTCTGAAGTTATTCACAGTTCCACAATGCCAGGGGAACACCTTGCTTTGGTCTTTCTCCATGAATGGTCTATCTTTGCTGTGCCTTATGAGATTAACCAAGCCAGAATGGCTGCTGATAGGAGGGGGCTCAATAATGCTCATACCTTGCAATTTTCGATAAATGAAATACTCAAGGTAAATACACCACTTCCTTTTTCCTTTACTCTATAAAAGGCACATGTAGATCCAATTCTACACTTGGTTTATCATTAGACAATGTGAAGCTTGAACACATCTTTATTAAGCCACAAAGTAGACGTGCTGAGAAAGAGGGTTTCTGATCAATGGTTGAGTCCCACACTGCTCTTCTTTGGTATATGATGAGGGGCTTACTTCTATATTACAGCACAACATTGTACATCCCAAGGTCTTGCAGTTCTATATCTGGGAAACTGCTGTAGAAGGAAAGTTTACTGACCCTAGGCTTTTTGGGATTCCGTGACTAACAAAAGCTTCATTTGGGCACAGATTTCAGTTCACCAGCTTGCATGAAATGCCTTCTATTTAAGTACATTGGGAACAAAGATGTAGAATTTACTTGTATTTGTCTGAACAAATGCTTATATGTTTGTCATTTAGTCTCAGCCAAAGTCATCTAGTTGTTACCTCAAGAACTCGTTTTCTGATCTCTTGTATCAGTCTGTTGTCATAGAGAGCTTTCAGGAGACGGAATGTGTTGCCACCTCCTGCAGAAAAAGTATCTGGCTTATTTAACGTGCTTTACTCTAAATTTTACATAGGTGCCATTACAGACTTGCCAGACTCAGTGATCTGTTCAGAACAATATTCTGCTTTCAGCAGTAGTAAAACCAGAAGCTTTGGAGAAATGCTTATTTGGCAGGCCATGGACTTGTACCCTAACTCCTCTTCCTAACACTGCTGCTGGCTCTTTGTCAGCAGATATTACTCTAATACCCTGGAGTATATTAGGACTGCTCAGTCCAACCACAGTAGGCCTCGCTGCTTGTAGTTCTGAAAAAGTGATATTTCATCTAAAATTGTGTTTTTAATGTTGAAGAGCTGTTTAAGTGAGTAACTTAAAACTTACTAGAGAAGCAGTTCCATTGATAAATCCCACTTACTTCCATTCCCACTATTAAATTCAAGGTCTTAACGTTCACAATTGAAGTACTGTTTTCTGCAGCTTCTAATAGTGAGGCAGGACTTTTCCATTCTTTTCTCTATGCTGCCAGCTCTACAACAGACTAATGCAGTGTCTTATGTAAACCCTCTTTAGGGAGCAAGAAGTAAGACTTACCAATGAATATTGCTTCAGATTTTCTTACAGCTTCTACTGGATCACAAGATTCATGAATGCTGTCCAGCTCGTAACCTTAAATTAGAAGTTATTTGCCTTTGCCACTTCACTCGGGAGGAGGAACGTACATTCAGTGCTTCCCTCCTGTTATTTCCCACCCCACTTCAAGCCAAATGTCTCACAGTAAAACCAGAGAAAAATCTTAGGGGCTACTACAGGGCATAATGTGTACCCTATATTAGTGTAGGGCTTCTGTATCCCCAGCCACACTGAAACCAATGTTAGCTTTATGGAGACATTGCTCAGTGTCACAAAAAGCAGAGGACTGCTCAGGAGGGGCTAGCTCAGTGCAAATTCCTGCTAACTCAAAAAAGAGGGGAATGCTACTACTGTTCAGTGTGGACATGGGATTTATTAGGCTGTGCCATCAGCGTTCTGATTTGAACCTATTTTTTGTAATGATTAAAATGTTTGGCTTTGACAGGTTTGCTCTGCTTGGTTCACTGCATGTGGTAAGGGCCAGGAGACCCAAATGGGCATTTGACAGCAGCAATCTTTCTGCAAGCTGAGGAGCAGTGTGACACCCAAGGAAGTGAGTACCGGTTGCTACTGGGGTAACAGGTCCAAGGTTACCCTGAGCGGTGCAGATAGGAGGCGGTTACTGCAGAAGACCAGTCTGGAAAGATCTTTGCTCAAGGCTCACAGCAAAAACTTCCTCTCCGCAGGCGTTAGAAGCGTTTGCGACACGATTTTTGCAGAGGCCTCTTCGGCGTCTCCTCCGAGGCCGCTGACACCCCGCCCTTCCCCGGACAGAACCCAGCTGCCCCAGGGCGGCTCGGGCCCGCGCCTCAGCGCCCGCCTTACCCAAACTCGCGAACTTCTCCCTGGCGGTGCGGGCGTAGGCGTCGCGGTCGTGCAGCGCGTAGGGCACGAAGAGCACCCGCTTCACCTTCCTGGGGAGAGAGAAGGGAGAGGGCGCTGGAGCCCGGCAGGGCGCGGCCCGGACCCCCGCGCGGCACTTACTCCCCGAGGAAGCTCTGGATGTGCTGCTGGCAGTGGCCCAGGTACCCCCCTCCGTGCAGCGTGGAGTTGGAGACCAGCAGCAGGCGCCGTGGGCACCCCATGCCCGCCCGCGTTCTCGGCCCGGCCCGGCCCGGCCCGCCCCTTCCTGCCCCGCCGCGAGGCCGCGGGGTGGGGCCGAGCTGTCGCTGCCGCCGCCCGGCCCGGCCATGCTGGACTTCGCTATCTTCGCCGTCACCTTCCTGCTCATCCTCGTGGGCGCCGTGCTCTATCTCTACCCGGTAATGGCGGCGGGGCCGAGCGGCCCGACCCCCGCCGCGGGGAGCGAGCGGCCGCGGGCTCTAGTCGCCCGGCCCCGTCCCGCGGCCCCGGCTTTGTCCGGGCTCCCGGGGCCGGGCGCTGCCGGGGACGTGGCTGCGGCCTGCGGCGGTGCCGGGCGGGGCTGCGCTCCGGGCTGGGGCGGCCGTGCTTCGCCTGTTCCGTGCTCCAGTGAGCCCTCTTAGAAAGGCTGTGCGCGCTCGGCTCGTGGTCTGCGTGTGCGCCCGTCCGTGGGTGAAGTTCGGGTGTCGGAGCTACGCTGGAGTCTCCCGTTGAAGCAGATGGTTAGAGCTTGGTTTGGCCTATGGGACCGGGCATGTGCTCACAGCTGATCAGTTCTGTGAAACTTGGCAGAGCTGAGGCCTGAGGATGAGCTTTGTCCAGCTCTGGTTTGTGAATGACGCAGAAGTACTGGTTCGGGAAATCCAGTTCTCCTGCTGCAAAGCTGTGAAGCTTGCCTAAAATCTACGTTCAGGAGGGCTGACAGCGTTTCCTTTTGCTATCCAGGCATCCAGGCAGGCGTCGGGTATCCCTGGGCTGGCTCCAACTGATGACAAGTAAGTGCTTCCCATCTTAACATTGGTTGGGTTCAGCCTTGGTGGTGGATGTTGCAAATGAGCAGATGACTTCTTTGTGTTCCTCAGAGATGGCAACCTGCCAGACATCATTGCCAGCAGAAGTTTGCATGAGTTCTTGGTGAACCTTCACGAGAAATATGGCCCGCTGGTCTCCTTCTGGTTTGGAAGGCGCCTTGTTGTCAGCCTTGGCTCCATTGATCTCCTGAAGCAACATGTGAACCCCAACCGGTCATGTAAGCAGCATCTGCTCTGTCTTTGAGTCTGTTTGTTCTGTATGGCCTTTCTGGGCATCATATATCAAAGGAAACAGAAAGAAAATGAAGCTTAGTTTGCAGCTGACACAGTGATTCAGACGTGTCTTTGGTCCCATTTATTGCAATTCAATATTGGTGACCAGGCGCTGCTGCTGCCCGGCAGCTATTGAGAAATTACTGTGCTTCTGCCTTTCACCTGCTGCTTACAGGCAGATGTTTATGGAAAGTTCATGTTCGTTAATGACTTGAAGCAGCCAGCTGAAAATCCTATAGGAAATTGAGATGTACTCCAAGTTGCTTTTAAATTATAATTGAAGATGGGTAGTTTTACTAAATTAAATCTGAAGAGAGCTGTGATTGTGATAGCTCCCTTGTGAGGCTCCATATGGAGTTTTTTAAAGCCTTATTTCAAGAAGTTCTTTAATTTTTTTTTTTTGTTCGAGTTGCAGAATTTTGTGCTGAAAACCTCTGATGATCTTCTAGACTTGAAAGTGGTCAGTAGAGCTGGTAGCTGAACTGATTTTAGTCCTGTGAGAATGCTTTAATTTCTAGTGCAGCCTCTCAGGTAGATGTTCTACTTCCTAAGGTGATCACAAACAATAAGGTAGTTAAGTTGTTGTTTGGGTTTAACCTGTGGTTTTTGCAGTTTTCTTCTTCTTGTGTAGATATATGTGCTAGTTGCATGCTGCTGATTTGGTAGCACAGGCTCTTTTCAAGCACAGGAGATATCAGCTATCAGTTTATGCTGGGTCGTGATGAATAAACTTCTTGTATGTTTGCATAAACTTAAAAAACTGCTGATGCTCTGGGAAAGAAGTAGGAGTTAAAGATCAGCAAGAATCGTTGGATAGCAGTTGCACTCCAGAAGGTGGAAACTCACCCTGAGAGATCTGAATGCACTGAAGTCTAAGTGCGAGTGTGTTTAGAGAAGGTTGAGTAGACATTCACTTTCTGAAAGCTCAGAGAAGTGGTGACAGGCCCTTGAGCAAACAAGTTGTCATAAACATACTGAAGTTGGGAGCGTATGCAAATAATAGTGAAAAACAAATGCCTGCACTTAAATGTTGGAAGCAACCAAGGCAGCTACCAGACCAGTTTGGTCTCCTGCAGATACCAGCAGTTAAATATATTAATTTTAAAATGTGGAGTGGGGAAAGCATTAAAATGTGGTCATGCTTCTTAGATGATCAGGCTTCTAGGCAAGAAAAGCATAGAACTGTGTTTCTAGACTATCAAACAGTTGAAAGTGATGCATTTCACTGAGAGGAGCGTAAATGTAATCCTAGAGTTGTTTTCAAGTCTGGTACAGAGTATGAAGCCTGTAGATGTGCTTAGCAGGACAGTTCTGTCTCTGTGAGGGATTTGTCCCTTGTGGGATTGCTAATCTGCTGCATCTGTAGAGAAATAGATGCTTTCCAAATATTATAAGACAAGGGCACTACTATGTAAAGGGCAGCTGAGGCTCTGCAGCACTGAGTTTGCAACAGTGAATGTAGCATTGGTATAGGACTGTCAGTTTGCTAGGGATTGAGTGAGAAAAATATGGAGTTTGCTGCTGAGCTAGCAGTTTCCTTCATCCCCACCAGGAGAACATTGCAGTTTCTGCAGGTGATGGTTTTAAGCATCCTCTGGCCTCTCCACATGGCTCTGCTTGCTAGATCTGCTTTGTGGGCTTTACCATCAGCAGGGCATTGTGGCACTAATAGCAGAACTGCTCCATGGCAAAGTACTATGGAGGAGAAACTGCCAGCAGCAGCTGGAGTCACATAACAGCTTGCTCCACGTGCAGAGCTGCAGGTACCATTTGCAGTGCCACAAGGCACATGCACGTACTTCTTGTCATTGGAAGTGGGAAACGGGATGAGCTGCAGAGCTCTAAAACGTTGGAAGGAAAATGGTGTGAGAGAAGAACATTTAGCTCGCTGTATTCATGCCACTGGTTTCATTAGCTGTCACGTGATAGAAATCCTCTGCAGGTAGGAATTGTCTCACTGGGAGTTTGTTCAGGAGCATAATAAAGTTCTGATCTCTGCTAGGTGTCCTAGTCACATCCACAGTATGTAGTCTAGCCCAGCCCTGATGTTTTGTGATGTTTTGAAGGTTTCACTTCATCTGGGAAAAATAAGACTGTGATAAACATTGAAAATCCCTTGCTTGAAACTCTTTGTGTGCTGCTTTCAAAGAGCTGCTTAGAGATTCCACTAGTTCTGTGAGACTCACAGAAAGATTCACAGGAACAGAAAAGCATGTAGTAGGCCATGCTCAATTGCACAATTTTGCATTGACTCCTAAGGTACTTCACCACATTAATTATGTAGAGTCCCTGCTGATGGGATTTGGAGTAAAAGATCTAAATGAAGCAAACCACAAATATGGAAGATGGAGGGTAGACTAAGTTGGTGGCAGAGCCATCTAGAACTGGAAGCTGGGAACAAGCTTTCAAAGCATTTTTATGAAAAGTATTGAGAAAAGCAACTTGGAGCCAGGAGCCAACCTGCACAGGAGAAGCTGAGCACAGGATGGTACCCTGCCACAGGGAAGAATCTTTATGACATGCTAATCCATGTGGAGCAAGAGAAACTTAGCACCCCAAAGAGACCATTCCTGGTGAAGGAGCCATGCCTTGCTCAACTCCCAGAAGTAGCAGCACTCTATCGAAGAGCTGGCTGTTTTCATCGTGCCTGTGCAGAAGAGGCTTCTGAATGATGTTTTCTTTGCTTATTTTCAGCTGATCCCTTTGAGATGATGTTGAAATCCTTCTTGAGGTACCAGTCCAGCCTGAATGGGGATACAGGGGAAAGCCACCTGAGAAGAAAGCTGTATGAAAGTGCTGTGACAAAGTCCTTGCAAAGTAACTTAGCTCTCATCCAGAAGGTAACTTCCTCTTCTCCAGTGAAGAAATCCTATGTAGCTCACAGAGGAAAGTTTAATGAGAATGATAGGATAAAGAAGCTGCATTCAAATTTATACTGGAATTTTAAGCTTCTAAGACAGAGAACAGCTTATGCCTGTTCAAACACAGTGTGAGCATTTGGTTCCTGTAAGCTCCACTGGGCTGAGAGAAAGTTAGGTTTGGTGACGTTTTATGCCAAGACATCAGATGCAATTAAAGATCCTGGAGCATATGGTTTCTGGATTTATTTTACAAGACAGGAGGGAGGAGCAACGAACCAGCTGCTGGGACCACAGCAAGTGGAGAACTGTTCTATTGACTCAGTCCAGCAGTCAGTCTTATTTTCTCAATGTGGAGCTTACATTACTGTCTTACATTGGGTGAACCATGGGCTCAGGCAGGATATCTGAAGGCAGAATGTTACTGTTCAAGTTAACAATGAAAGGAAACCCTTGAAAGTATAGATGTACACCATGGCCTTGAAAGTGTGGTCTATCTGAGGAACTTAGGGTGAGAATGCATTCATTTTGGGGTATGTTTGGTAAATAGGCTATTGATATTACTGTCAATTATTGGTTCCTTTCCTCTTAAGTTGTCAGAAGAATTGCTAGCCAAATGGCTCTCCCTCCCTGAGGCTCAACATGTACCACTCTGCCAGCATATGCTGGGCTTTGCCATGAAGTCTGTTACACAGACAGCTATGGGCAGCAGCTTTGAAGATGACCAGGAAGTCATTCGATTCCGCAGGCACCATGATGCAGTAAGTGTCATAAAGAGCCAGGAAGTTTCCTGTACTGTTTTTTCAAGCCAACAGCTTGTGTCTGCACGTACAGTTTAGTAAGGGACAGCACAAGCTATTGCGGGGACTTTAACGTTAAACTAACATTAAGCTTTAAAGCTTGAGGACTGTTGACTCAACTATCTGAAGCTAAAACTATCAGAAAGATCCTGCTGGTCTTACTATCATTAGTCTTAAGCCATGTGTTTCTAAGAAATCAGCAGGAATTGGGATCCAGTGGCAATTGAGATGTATTTGATCTAAGTCAGTTAAAATCTCCAGGGAAGGCCAGTGGAACTTTGCATTTTCAGAGAACCTTTGAAGGCTCTCCGGCGTTGTGGAGAGGGAAAAAACCTGAGGAAATCTGAAGCTGTGTTCATATTTGGGGATGTTAAGTCTGTTGGTGGTATGGTGGGAAAGAAACGGTTTCACCTCCCTCTCAGGGTGGCCATGCCTTTTTCCATACAGTTGTAATTACAGGTTTTTCATTTCAACTCAGTTTCAGCTGTTACACATGTAAGAACTAGAACTAGAACATGGTGTTCTGAAGAGGATACTAATTTCACATTCAGAGGAAGACTTCATTTTATTTAATGTTTTCATTTTACTGAATAAGGCAGAGAGAAGGAGTCCCTGCCTGTGGTGAGTAACAGTGCTCTTCTCTCTGGCCTTCTTTCAGATCTGGTCAGAGATTGGGAAAGGTTTCTTGGATGGGTCCCTTGACAAAAACACAACTAGGAAGAAACTGTATGAAGATGGTAGGTTCTTCCCAAATCCAGTCTCCCTTCCACTTGACTTCTCCATCTGATTAATGCTTAGGAATTATCTAGCATATGGAAGCACTTGATTTGCCCAGCTGTCTTGGCTTTTCTGCAGTTTGTTGTTGTGCCATAAGCTACCCGATGTGTCTTCTTTACTCTTGCAGAAGATTAAAATATGTCATTGTTTAGTGGTTCAGAGACAAGCCCGCCATTGTTGGTGTAGTTCTAGTGTCTTTGTGTGCTTGCTACCTGTTCTGCGTCGTCTTAACTTTTGACCACTCTTGTAGGTAGGCGGCTGCATTTAGTGAAGACCGATATGTCATTTGGTCATAGTTAATAGTTAAAGCTTTTCATTATTGTCTAATAAGATTTTAAATCAGAGTAGCCTCTATCTTAAGCTAATAAATAAGTTCTAGATCCTGAAGTTGTCTGAACTGGACCACTTAAACCAGACAGCCAGTGGCATGTAGGTTCCTAACTCCCCCTAGTTCCCACAAGAGCCATCAGTAGGTAGTCATCCAGATATCTTGAGGTGAGTGGAACCTTTGTGCCTAAATCCTCCCACACTTGCCCCACTTTCCTCTCTCTGTCTATGCAGAGTCTTTAGCACCATCTTCCTCTGAAATCATTTCTGTAGAGCTCCTGGCAAAAGGGACACCATCAGTGAGCGGAGGTGCCTTAATGCTTGAGTAATTGTAACTCCACAGGCAATTGAGTGTTATCTCAAACATTTTAGTTGTGAGAGCTGGTTAAACACAGTACGTGATAGTTCAACGCTGATTATTGCTTGACCTTCCTTTACGTGATTTCAGCTCACAGAGTACACGTCTTGGTTATACCTGTAAAGTTGGCTTTTTATAGGCAACTGGTGATGTTTCATTCCTACATTTTCATCTAAATTAGAGAAATCACCTTCCAGATTTAACACTAACATGTAACAGGCTGCTTCTGTAAGTGAGTCCACCAAGGACAATTGTCTGAAAATCTGTCTGGGGAGATGGTTTCACTTCTCTGCAGCTCTCAGACTGACCAGGATTAAAATAATCATTTCTTTTTCTCCAAAGCTCTGAAAGAGATGGAATCTACATTAAGGAAAGTCATAAAGGAACGCCGAGGCAGATCATTCAACAGGCATGTCTTTATAGATACCTTGCTACAGGGGAACCTTAGTGACCAGCAGGTTTGTACAGATGTTATGTCATTGCACTCTAATAGAATTCTACTAGATTGGCATCTTATTATGTTGTAGCCTTTGGTTAATCTAAGCTTTTGCATTTGGGTCAGATTCCTAACTCATGCAGTGTTCTCTCTGGCTTTTTTTCCAATCCTGCCATGCTTAATTGAATTAGACCTTGGTAGCTTTCCTTGCCACTGTTTCATCACTGTTATTTTTATAAACCAGGAGCGTGTTAGTATTAAGCATGTCTGAAGTGCTATTTCAGTGGAAGTTCTGTAAGAGAGTTCAGTCTTATAGATGAATTTCCTGCTCTCTGCACTAAAGAGATTTCATATGCTTGAGTGGAGATTGTGCTGCTTCTTTCTAGTCTTTGCATCTCATGGACTTCATTCTCTGAACTAGATTTTGTTTCCTAGATTTTGGAAGATACGATGATTTTCTCCTTGGCAGGATGCATTATTACTGCTAACTGTAAGTACAAGTCATAAATTATTTTCTGTCCTCAGATTCAGCTGTTGAAAACTGATTGTGATGATGTGAGACTTAATCTAGGCTAATAAAAAGTGATCTCCATCATTTTATCTTTCCTGAGCTACAAACATATAGAAGCAGGTAGTTTTACAGCACACTCAATACAGTATCACAGCCAGTGTGTTGAAGTTGTGTTTGTCAACCTTCTTAGTCTTTTGGTGAACCTGTTGCTTTTTGTTTCGACCCTTAACCCCTTTCAAGTGATGCTAAATTTGATGAAAATGCACCAAAAATTGCAAGTCACAAAGATAGTGATGTAAAATGGCTTCTGTTATGTGGGAAGGAAGTTAGAGCAGAGCCCTGAGGTGTGACTGACTGCTTTGAATTCCTGGGGGATAGGTATGTTCCATATATGGAAGAGTTCCTCTAGGAGCTGCTTTCGGATTTATAAGGATTTTGAAAAAGAAGTAAATGGAAATATGACCTGAAGCTGTGTAAAATCTCTTACAATATGAAGATGGGTTGAACTTAACCCCCTGATTATCAGGTCCTGTATTTCAGTGAATGGGACTGGAACTTCAAACAAAACTTCTCTGTTGCTACTGGATATTGAAAGATGTGGAAAGTAAATTTGGCAGTTACGCTAACACTATCCCTGAAGATTATCATCTCCAAATATTCCATGAAATCAGTCTTTTGAAGGGGCTTGGCTCCTCAGGGGTTGCCAGATAGCACTCATAAACAGAAGTGGTAGAAACAATCTTGTAGCTTTAGAGAAACTGCATCCTACACACTTATTTCTTAGGTTTATTTCTTGATGTGCTGCTGAGGATATCTTCTTGTGAGTATCTCACAAGATGGATGTAGAGGAGACAAATTCTGGCCAGTGTGCAGCAGAAAGCTGTACTGTTCTTCTCCTTGCCTGTCAGGAACCCAGACAGGGAATTTTTTGGTGCTGTGAACAAACCAGCATTTCAGCTGATTGATCTAATAACCCTGATTCTCCAGAAGTGGTGATTGCTAGAACATTACAGCCATTTCATGGACCACAGGGCTGGGAAAAAGACACACTTTGATTGCTGCTTTGCTGGATTGTGCGGTCTCAAATCCAGGACTGTGAGACTGAATGACTTAGTCTCCTACACAGCTTCCTAAGCTCTTCATAGCCCTAGAAAGAGAATTTTAGCTTGCAGAGTCTCCTGTTACAATGGAGTTCAACCTCTGTTTCTGACACTGAATAGGAAATCAGTACAATATATAAACAGAGGTCACCCTTGTCTGAGTCAGAAAAATAATGTTGCAAATACAGGAAGCAAAAGGGTTGAATACAGTTAGCAAAGCTTTGAATTTGCTGAATCTACTATTGTCTTGATTCCTTCCCCAGTGTGTACCTGGGCAGTCTATTTCCTGACAACATCAGAAGATGTACAGCAAAATCTCTGCAAGGAGGTGGACCAAGTTCTGGGGAAGGGACCAATTACACATGAGAAAATCGAGCAACTCAGGTGGGTCCCTGGTAAGGAAATGCAGAGGAAGGTTTTCTTGTGAAGTGGGAACAGGGGCTTCATGTGTCAGAGGCTGACGACCAGCCTATACTGGAACAGGAGAAATCATCCAAAAGGTACTACATTTTTTGGAAGTGGTTGAACCCCAGGATGACTAGCAGCAGAAATAGGATCCACTGTATGGTTCCAAATAATGAGGAATGGGATGCTTTCTTTAAGGTGTCTATTAGGAGGCCCTTGAAGTTCTTTGATGGGGAGCACAGAATTTGTGCCCTAGCTGCTTGAAAAACACTCTGTGCCAAGATGAAACCTGGAAAGTGTCTCTAATCAGCCACGAGTGAATCCTGTCTGTACCAATGGAACTAAAGTCCTTTAAGGAGGAGGGGTAATTCAGAATAAAAGACTGAGAGTACATTCTTCATCCTATTCTGTGTATCAAGGGATCAGGTTGGCAAAATTGAATGTATATTCAGTTTTGGGGTTCACAGCAGTAATGGTGTGAGCCTTGCATGGGATAGGGCTGCAAAAATGATGAATGGGAGCAGAGATTTACTCCTGATCTTGATTAAGCCACACAGGTGGAGTGGGACAGAAAGCAGTGACTTCTCTCCCACATATAAAGAAACAAAGAGAAAAAATTGGTGGCTAGCTATTTATTAACGCTAGGCTTAGAATTTCAGGAATAAAGTCATTAGGACCTGATGTTCTGTTTGATCTTTTTTTCAGGCTGTGGAGCAAGGATGAGAGTTACCATTTTTGTGGATGAACAAATAACATTTGTTTTTTGTTCAAGTGAAGTCCACTCTAAGATGCTTTATCCCAAGGTTTCAGGGAGAATATGAGAAATCTCAGTCTCCTACTGATGCTTGCTTATAGCACAGAATTAGAGTGGCAGTGGTTATTTGAAGAAGGAAATTTGTTTTGTGCTCTGGTTTTCCAAGGGTAGGAGTAACCAATAATTTTAATTGTAAGTTTAATGTGAGATGAATTTAGACAGAAAGCTTGGAAGTGTATTCTTTTTAGAGGGCTACAGAAGTAGGAGAATGATTGGTGATTGGTGTGCCTTTATTTTTCACACATCTGTTCATGTAGCAGGGTGTGCTCTGTATTGGGACTAGTGTTAAGATTTCAGTAAAGGAGTATATCCTGCTGCTTCCTGTATGAGTGAGAAGTATAGGAAAAGGAATGTTTACCCTTTCTAGCTGGGTTAGTTTGATTTAAGGTCTGGAAGATGTGGGATGAGAGAGATTTTGATGAACTGATAATGAGATTTAATGCTTATTGAAAGGATGCTGGGACTCTTTGTAAAATTAAAAACAAAAAGCTCCTCAGCATGGCTGCAGACAGCTCCAGGAGTGGACTGGGGCCCTGGAGGGCAGCAGATGACCAAGCTCTCCTTTTCTAGCACAAGGACATGAACAAACTTCTTTCTGGAAGAGTTAAATTGACCAAGCTTTATTGATTGCAGATACTGTCGGCAAGTCCTGTGCGAGACAGTGCGGACAGCAAAGCTCACTCCCATTGCTGCACAGCTGCAGGAGCTGGAAGGCAGAGTCGACCAACATACTGTCCCCAAAGAGGTAAGGCAGTACCAGGAGCACTAGGTCCTCCTGCTTTCCTGAAGGGAAATTTCCTGTTTCCTCTTCATCATACTTCTTTCTCTAGAGGGGTGAGGGAGGAAGACAATTTCTTCTGACACGTTTAACCTGACCAGCTGGTCTGTCATCTGAAAGTACTATTTAGTCAAAGTTTGCCATGTGGTTCCTCTATGGGATAGGCTCTGGGAATTTGTGATCTCTTCCAGAGCAGATTGCCTTCTGGTTCTGGGTCCACTGGGAATGAATAATCTTTTGAAGAGGTTTGTGGTCTCGGCTGTGTTAACAGGAGCGTGGTTTCAGGCCTAATTATATCACCTGTATTTCCCACATGAGAGTGGTACCTTCCATAGCAGAGAATAAAGTAGCATGCACATACATTCTAGCAAGAGTAGAGGAATGGGATCTGGCCCTCACTAACTACCAAGATTTGCAGCATGGGTCTTAAGAAGTTAAAATCCTCTTGTGAGCATTTCATTATAAAAATCTGTAGGTGAACGTAACATATAAATGTTTCTAAATGACCTATTAAAATGAATGGTCCACAGAATAATTGTCCTGCAGAGCTGTCCAGATGTAGCTTAAATTGTGTGTTTTGTTCTGTCTGACATATGTATCCTCATTTTCTTTGCAGACACTTGTACTTTATGCTCTTGGTGTGATGTTGCAGGATAGTTCATCTTGGCCGTCACCATACAAGTATGTAGAATCAAGGCCTTTATTCTTTCTCAAATGAATTCCTTTCCTTTTTTTTAATTAATATTCTATAGATCTTCCTTTCCTTTTTTTAATTAGTATTCTATAGATCTTGTTTCCATGCAGAACCTTCTTTGCTGCAGAGCCTGTCTTAAGCAGATTTTGGAGATGAGAGGGAGTCCCTAAGAAAGTGGATTTGTGAAGATCCTTGTCTCCTTGGACGGGAGTTTGGGGCAGTTCAAGTCATGATTCTCCTAGACTTTTTGTGTGTGTGTGTATGTTAGAGGTTTACAGGTTTGTTTGTTTGTTTCCACACACACTGCTTAGGCAAATACCAGTAAATTCATCTTAATGTTTCCTGTGAATGAGAGAGATTTAGATTTGAATGGTTTTGGGAATCACTGTCAGCATGAAACAATGCAAGGGAGGAAATGTCTGACAGAAATGTTGTGTTTTCAGAGTGAAGGAAATGTCATCTCATTACTTTGTCTGTGGAATAAAACTGGATCCAGGCTAGTATATTGGAAGTTTAAAAAAACAAAAAAATGTTGTAGCTTACTGTGGCCTCTTGGTGGCAAGTATTAAGGTTAGTTTTGTTTATTTCATTGGGCTGGAAAAAAAAAAAAAAGTGGGTCAGTTATTCTAGAGAGAGAGAAAAGAGGCAGCTGAAATCTAGGAGAAGGAAGAAGCCCTTAGAACAGAGCTTGTTCTCTCCTTCATGCTCTTTCAAAAGAATCAGGCATTGATGATCCAACCTATGAGCATCTTGGCAGGGATTGCCCAGTAGGATGGGGCATGCACTGTGCTTAGGAGGGCTTCATTGGGACAGCATATAAAGAAAGGTGAGGACTGCTGTGAACACAGTGTGTTTATTCCAAGGAAAGGAGAGTTGAGGGTGTGATTGTATTTATGTGACAGAGATGGGAGATCTTCGCTTTGCAGTCCTTTCACCTATCTACCTTACATGTAACCTCTGTGTTTGTTTGCCTTTTTTTTTTTTTTCTGTTTGGCTGATTTCCTCACTATTTCAGTATATGTGATTTGTCGCTTCAGGGGAAATGTAAGTGTGATGTTGCTTTAACTGAGGGTCAGCATCCACATGCCTTTTCAGCTTAGTAGAAGCAGAGCATGGATGTTTATACAAGAAACCAAGGGCTTGAAGTACAAGCAGAAATATTTAGCAGAAAATGAAAGAGGACTGACTATCTTCAATTCATTATATTTCCTGTTTGGTTTTTTGTTGTTGTTATTATTTTTCTGTAATAACTTATATTTAAATTGAATGGTATTCTATTGACCTCCTTTTGGTTTAGTTGATTATGGAAACCTTGTTTTAACTTGTGCAAACCCTGGATAATAGTTTCCTTACAGCCTCCACCATACTAATGCTGGAAGCCACTTTTTTCACTTGAATGAGTCACCAGCTTCCCTCCCCCAGCATATACACATACACCAGCTGCTTCAAGACAGGGGCGAGGGGCAAGGGAAAAAAAGGAAAATATTTTTGGAGGTGAGAGAGGAGGAGGGATGCAGGGAGACTGGTGGGATAGAGAGAGGAGACAAATCAGATTGTGTGTGCCCTGGAGGGAAATGGACGACATGTAGCAGCATCAGCTCAGCTGTGTACTCAAGCTAAATACCCACTGCTAAGAGGTAAAGCATACTATTTCCAGCCCTGCATCACACGCGGATATGAAGCACTTTGACCAAAGTGGGACACAGCTGACCAAAGGAGAACATAGATGGAGTAGATGCACAGTCACCTTTCTATATCTGTGTGGAATTACCTAGCGTAATTTAAAGAGAGGATTGATGCTTTTTGCAGTTGTCATTGCCAGTTTCTTCAGGTGATGTGTGTGTAACCACACATCCAGAGGAAGAGTTCTGTGCTCACTCAGTGTGTTTTGTCTTTTGTAGATTTGACCCAGAGAGATTCAACGAGGATTCAGCCATGACAAACCTCTCCTTGTTGGGTTTTTCAGGAAGCCAGGAGTGCCCGGAGTTGAGGTGAGCATTAGAAAAAGGTTTTTTGTGTGTTTCTGTGGTAGAGAGAAAAGGAGGCTGTTTCGGTGTATTTCAGTCCAAACAGGCAGTTGTTTTTTGGCAGATTTACTTCATAGCAAGTTTTTTATTCTCTTTTCTTGCCTCCTTCCTCAGGTTTGCCTATATGGTGGCTACAGTTCTGTTGAGTGTCCTGGTAAGAAAACTGTACCTTCACCCAGTTAAAGGACAAGTCATGGAGACCAAATATGAGCTGGTAACCTCACCGAAGGAGGAAGCCTGGATAACGGTGTCTAAGAGAAGCTAAGAACGAGTGAAACAAGGGTCTGAAAGTGCCAGCAGTGAAGTTCTGGGCAAGTGTCTTAGAGGGAGTCACGCTGGCAAAACAATGACTCAGCCAAGGAATTTTAAATGCAGATTTTGTTACCTTCCACATTATTAACTGCATAGCCTTCTAGGGTAATTTTTTCTAATTCAAGCAATAGTTGTATTAAAGTAGATGTAATCTGTATGCTTTTTTACACTTTTTGCCCAATGGATTGCAAAGGAAGCAACAAAACCAAGAAGTGGTGTATCTATGAACTGTTCTGTGCCAGCTAATCAAAGACTGGGCCTCTGGTTAGTCCAGCCCTTTCCTAACAGCAAGCAGATCTGGGTAAGAGACTGTGCCACAGGGCATGCTTCTTCATGGATCGCAAGTAGATAAGACCTTGAAGGCACAAGGACAAAGTCTTTCTCTATATATAGGTATTTTTATTCAAAGTATCTTTCCTTCCCTTGAGCTGTGACTATAACTGTCAAGAAGAGCAGATACATCTTGTGGGAAGTATGCATGAGTGTGTGTGAGAGAAAAAGAAAGTGGGGTGGGAATTGCACCATCGGGTCTTATGCTACATATGTAATCTTCCTGTGCTGTAGGATTGCAAGAGGATGGATGGCTGAAAAATGCTAGTAAATGAGGAGGAATAAAATTGGTTTGGCCTGTGAGAAAGCAGAAGCATTAGTAATAACATAATGAAATGAAATAAAACCACAGAACAAAGCCCTGGGAAAGGGATTCTCCATCCTGACAGTTCGGAGAGCAGTGTCTAATCTAATCAGCATCAGAAATTGATGACAGGTGCTTGCAATTCATTCATCACTCGGTCAGCAATGAGATTGGTCATGCAAGTACTGGAAAGGGAGAGTGCTGATTTTATAAGGCTCTGAATTAATGTTGTGCTTAATAAGTTAAAAGCCTTTCAAAGAACCTTCCTCCTCCTCCAGAGCAAGTGCCAGCCAAAGCAGCATCACATGCCACTCGTTCACGTGCTTTTCCCTTTCACGTGCTTCTTTCTTTCTCTCCTGGCTGCAATAGGCCAGTCCTTGACAGATTTTTGAGCACCCTGCTGAATAGCTTGCAAGGCAGGAACCTCTTACCCCTTTATCTCAGTATATTGCCATCTGACCTATTCAGGTCATGTTTTTTCTACTTCCCATTTTATATACGATCACCCTTTATCTGATCTTGATCTTTTCTCTGTAAATGTAACTTCTTTGTTAGCACCCTCCCCATTCAAATGCTGTGTTGTGTAGGTGAATTGTTACTCAGCCTGCAGCTGTGTATGCCTGAGCTGTTTTGCACACAGCTACTGATGCACCCCACAGGGAGGTTCAGGGATATGTAGCATCCATTAGAGCTGCTTTCTATTGCCTAAGCAAACCAGAGACACTTTACATAGGGACAGGTATGTTTTATTTATCTGGGAATTTGCAATTCCCAACTGCAGACACTGTTTCTTTCTCTGGCTCTTCCAGGTCAGGAAATCAGCTGCTCTTACAAAAATGTTTTGGCTGTTGGATTCCTGCCAAGTGCTTTTCTGAATGCAGTTCTGTCTGCTCTTGAAGGGTTAACATTTGGTGCCAGCCTCTGTGGGCACCAGACAAAGAAAATTCTGCTTTTGGGTTTAATATGTCAGCTCTGCTTTTGGTGGAGCCATGGAGATTCAGATTCTCCCCCCGCGGTGCAGCGTGTGTTGAGGGAACAGTAGGACAGAGATGCTGTTCTGCTGGTTTTTGTCTGTTGAGCAGAAAAAGGAGGGTTGTGCAGTTCATCTTGCTGCCTGTCTTGCATTGATTTTTATAATGAACTGCAAGAAAGTTCCTGCTAATCTGACCTCCATTTAACTGAAGGTTGGTCATGTCCCCAGATGGCAATTCATGTTAGCCTTTGCTTCACTGCTTATGCAAAAATGCCTACTTTTCTTGAAGGTTGCAGATGTTTTTTAAGCCTTGTGGAGAAATCTGCGTGATAAAGGATTTTACTTTAAAGCATCCCTAGTGTACAGAGGAAGCAAAATGGAGAGGAAAATAATGGTAGAATAGCACTGCCTTGCTAAGAACCAGACTAGAAATAGCTGACTTGGTCACATAATTGAGTGGCTAAGATCTACTTTTGTAGAGCCATCTGGTAGGAATGAAGCTTTCAGACACCAGAAAAGCTTCCCAGGAGTGATTGTTCACACTTCTCTTAACAGTATTTCTCTGCCTTTCTGGAGCTATATGGGCCGAGTGCCTTGCAGCAGTTGCAGGAATAAAAGAGAATAATTCCATATAATTTGTTACGAATTTTCAGTCTGTACAGTTATTGCATCCTAAAAGACAGTACTCAGTCTGGGCCATGTTACCAAACATGCTACAGGAGTCTGTGGCTGACAGGAGAGAAGAACATGGCCCAAAATGGTGGACAAGGCCGATGATCAGTTTGTGTTTGCTCAAAACTGCTGCAGTCAAGAAAAGGCCCTGACTCATCATTTCAGGTTACATTTTGAGCTTTGGGAGGAAGGAGAGAAGTGAGCATCTATCAGACGTTCCTTATTCATTGCTCAGAGTGACACCAAGGACATGGCCATATTGTTTGCTGCAGTCTGTAAGTTTCCGTTCCACTCTTTGTGACAATTGTTTCCAACAGCCTAACTATCAAGATAAAATGCACTGCTGGTCAGCCAAACTGTAGCTCCTTCTATTGCACAACAAAGACCCTTCTTGCTATGGGAACGTTCATGGATCAGATCTTTCTTATGGGCTTTTAGTATGTTCCAGCTGGAAGCTTGAAATATCGGTTTTGTTCCGTTTCTCCCCTCACCCCTTGTCTCATGTCAAGTGGTACTTTTTTGGCCTCCTTTTCTAAGGAAGGTGTAGTCAGATTTGCCTTTCACCCCACTTACGTCTGACCATTTTCTCCCTTTGTCCTCCTCCTACAAGAAGTAACTTCCAAGCCTTTGGATCAAATTAGCTGCATTTGTCAGGAATCAGGGTTTGAAATCTCAACAGAAATTTATAATGTGTATACATATATACAGGGGACTTTTGCTTTTAATACTTCATATCCCTACACCAGAAAGCTACGTCACAATTTCTTCTGGGTGGTTTTGAAGAGCATACAGCAAAGCTGTTATTTCATTCCTTGGACTATTACTGCAGAATAAGCTTTAACAGAAGGCTGCAAATTAATGGAAGGCAAGAGGCTAAATATATCTCAGTGCCTGTGCAACCTGCTGCTATCAGAAGTAGGCAGCCAGCACGGGTGCTGAGAGCTGTCAGGCCATTGCAAATTGACTCTCATTGTGGCTAACAAAGGTTTGTTAGCCTCATCTTGGTGGCAACTGGTTAAACAGTTAACATAACTTTGTGGAGTAGACAGCTTGTTGAGCTAGCTTCCCACTGTCTCCAAAATAACCATGAGTGGCGTTACATCTAGGTTTTAATTAACCTGGACTGCGTGTAGAGCAGTCCTTTTCCCAGCAGTTTAAGGACTTGCTGATAATGGCAGTGGCATGCAGTGTAGGGCTGAGGGCTGTACGTTTTATTTTCTGCCATTAAATGGAAAGAGTGGTCTTTGCAACTTCTGTCCTGTTTGCTGCAAATGTAAGTGTTCTTGGTGGACAGAGTGGACATTTGCCGATTTAAACTACCTTGAGGCTGCTCTTTTGCCAGCTCCCCCATTAGCCAATTACATGAACCAGGAGATGCTGGCAATGCAAAAATGGGGAAACTGCATATTTATCTCACTGCATAGTTCATTCATCAACATTTTGGTACTACTTGTTACAGTACACAGTTACTTAGTGTTGCCATCCTACTATCTCAGGTGCTGTGCACATTCTCACTGAAAAAAAGAGGTCTCCTGTTTCACTAGGGCCATGGCTGAACTTCCCAAAATTTCTACTCTTGCTATGGGAAGGGCCTCCTGCCAGGCACCCTTGGATATGGATGTGTCCTGGTCAGCAGAGTGAAGTCTGCAGATTACTGGCTTACTTCATGTGCTTGAATCCCTTTGTAGGGCAAATGGAAGTGGATAGAGCAGTACTTTCATGAAAGTACTTAGAGCATACAGGACTTCACCCATTTCCATACCAATTTTATCAAGAGTGAGAGGAAAGGAGAAAAAAGATTTGTAAAGAGAACAGAGATGTTCATCACCAGTGGGTCATGCCACCAGGAAGCGGAACTGCTGTAGTTACCGTGGCAGCTCGTTGCTACTTTCCTCTTGTCCAAAGCAGAAATTGCTGGAAAATATTACTGCCACCTTTTTCTGTAGCATGAGAATGTGCACCCACTTTGGCATCTCTCTCTAGTTGAGCTCAGGACTGTTTTTTAGCAAACAGTCATCAACTAAACAAAAGGCCTGTTTGACATCTCTTAAGATTCAGTGCCAGGTTTTTGGTGGTAGCAGACGGAGAAGAGGAACTGCCACACACGGGGGAAAAAAAAGATGAAAATGTTTCTCACATATGGAGGGTGGGGAAGGAGAGAAGATAAGGGTTTCCATGGCAACATTCCTTGAAGATAAGTATTTTTAAATGTGTGTGAATTTTAGCATTCAAAACACAGTTGAGTTTCCCACAAAAAGATTTGGAGGAGGGTGGAACGTAAAGAATCTTTTCCAGTATTTTTCAGGTCATTCCTTCTTTTACAGAGGAGCCTGATCCCAAGATAAATGAAGTATATGCAATTGCTCTGTGTTAATGCTCCTGTTAAAGAAAAGTCTTTCCAAGAGGTGAGAAGTATTGGTCAAAGTTCTGTATTTGCACTGGCAACTCATCACTGGCCCAAGCATTTGATCATCTCTTTAATAGGAAAAGTAATTCAATTAGATCAGTGCTAGGCCAGTAAGAAGCCACAAGGACAAATTCCAGGTTAAATCCAGTGTAATTCAGAGCATGATCTACATAGATGACTCTCAGCTCAGTGATAGCAATGATAGGGTGACAGAGGTCTTAGCCAAAGACGAAGAGATGTAGTAGAACTGAATGCAGAGGAGCCAGACACAGTGTGTCCCTGGTGAGTGCCTTGTCTGCAGCAGTGACAGTGAAACATCACTGCAGGTAAGCAGCGGATGTTCCCGTGACGCCATTAGGCAAGACATGTCTGCGCTGTTTATTGAGTATCAATGCTGGGGCTGCCCCTTGAAGCTTTTCTTCTTCCATCTCCATATTGTTGAGCTGCTTGTGGGCACTGGCATGCTGTGCTCCCACCTCCCTGCTAACAGCCAGGCAGGTCAGCTCTGTCACAAGCCTGGCAGTGAGACAGAGCCGGTGCTTTGCCTGCTTGGCTGCCAACTTTCTCATCTCACCAAAAAAGGCTTTTTTTTTTTTTTTTTTTTTTTAACAGTCACTTCCAACTCAGTAATGACTCAGACACTGCAGCAAGGGTAAAATGATCATCTTCCCTTTCAGACTTTTACGGCAAAAGGCCCTGGGTGGCCTCTCTGAAAAGCCAGAGCTTGCTGGGCATAGCTGTTGGCTGGATTCAGTTCTTTAATTTAGCGGATCGAACTGATGCTCTACAGTGCTATGTATCTGCTGGCTCAGGGTCTGTGCTTCAGCAGTAGACTAAATGATTCCTACAAACTATTTGTGTTCAGTAGTCTTGGGGAAGGGTGGCTGGGTGGGGAGGAATAGTTGCACATAAAGAGAGGGTGCTGTTAGCTTCTCAGGCTCTGTCCCAATATCTCTGGGCCATGAATCGAGGAAACAACATATTTGGGCACTTATTTTTTGAGGTGAGTGAGGGGAAGCAAATAAGAATGACTGAAAAAGCAAAGTTCATATTGTCAGACTGTGGAAATCAGCACCTCATAGTATTGTTTTATTTTGGCTGAGATCTTGATACAGAATAAACTCAGATCTAGGTAAGACAACTTATCAACATCCTTACATCTTCATTGATAAAGCCTAAAAAAAACAGCATGGAAAAATCTGAATTTTATCACTCTTGGATTCTCTATTGGAATTCAGTGCTATCAGGTCAATTATTTTTCTTTTTGGAACGAACATTTGTGCCCTGATGTCAGCACTAACATGACGATGCATTTGTAGTTTCTTGGACTGAAAAGCAACTGACTTGCTGACGCAGGACTTGTTAACTACAAGTTATTGACTAAATATATCGTGTTTATTCCTTTGCTTTAGTTAAGGCTGCTGTACCTTTTGTGCTACACACTGGTGCTCTTGTTCCACGCGTTTGCCTTACAGCTGAACCCTGGAAGATGCAGGAACTCTGGAATATTTAAATAACAGAAGTGCAGCAACTTCAGTCCCTGCTCGGCAACCTTCAGCATCCAGTGTGTCACAAGCTGACTCTTACTCATCCTCGAGTGCTTGTAAGTTAGCCTATTACAAAAATGGGTTTCAGGACACCATGGGCAGTAGATGGCTGTAAATGGATTGCTGCTGTGCCAGGGAGCAGTTCTCTTGTTGCACCACTTGTGAATGTCCACACATAGCTCTAAGCCCCACAAATAGAGTTTCTAGGCCAAAAAGCCCTTCCTTCAGGCAGGCTGTCTGCTTTGCTTGGGGAGAAAGGTTGTTTGTTGCCTGCTGTGTGGCAGATTAGCTTCTGACCACGTCCTGGCTCTGATGTGGTTGTCCTGCTTTTACAAGCTCTTCCAGGAGTTTGAATGGAAGAAAGGTGCCTTGAGAGAAGAATGAAGCATGTGAGTTAATGGGAGCTGACAGGGATGCCTGCAAGAATACACCATTGTGTATTGTCAAAAAGCAGCTGAACCAATGGTGAGCAGGGTATTTGCTAACAGAAAGTGTTTGGAGCACTTAGCATTTCCACCATGCAGAATTCATATTAAATTTGTGGGAGTCTGCACCTTGATTTTGTGGTATTCTTGTAAAAGGAAGGAGCAGACTCACTGCTTGCTATCAGTCTGCTCTAAATTAACCTCAGGCGTGGGCCTGTGCCTGCAAACCTTTGTATGACTGTGACTGCTATTTATGCTGTGTGATTGCACTGAGTGGCACTGACTATTCATATGTCAGCCTAGCATATAACTGTGACTTTTACACATCAAGTTTTTGAAATTGTTTAGGTGTTTGAATTTTGAATACCCCACTAAGCACCTACCTGGCTAAGTGCCTAGAAGTCTCTGCAAATCCAGTAAAGCAACAATGCAAAGAAAAAGGAAATGATATATAGTGGTTGCTGGATCAGGCCTCTGGTTTGATATCCCAATAGCTGCATAGCAGCAATAGCTAGCTAGGGCTTATTGCTGTATATGCCATAGTTTATAGCGAACCTCTTTTGTGCTTAAGGAAGTTTGATGGTGACTTCTGCACAGTAAAGGTAAAAATACTGCAAACCTATATCCTGCATTAGCCTTTATGTATTTTACAGCTGTACCGTTCTGGTGTGGTAAACTGAGCTGAGCAATCACATTTTCTCAATTACCCTCAAGAACTGGAAATCCTTATCACCTCCCTGTTTCTTTCTCCCACTACTGCGCTGGTCTCGAAATTGTCATCACAGCTAAAAATCCTCATTCTGTAAATTAAACCGTGACTTAAAAAAAAAAAAAGGTAACTGCAGCTTCCTCATAAAACTCCACCAAGTCTTTTGCTGATGTGACTCACACAATTACTCATGTGGATAGAAGTTCTGATAATAAAAGTAGTTAATGTAAGGCAGTGAGAAATACTGCTGGTACCTGAGGAGGCAGGGGAATGGGCAGGCTGCTGTGGGCATTTTATCTTAAGAGCTGCTGAATTCACCAAGCTCCCAGACATTTATTTAGGTTAAGAATTTCTCTATTTTGCTTTTTTTTTTTTTTTTTAATTGCTTGAAAAATCAAATTGGCAGTAGAGGAGCAAAAGTACACCAGCTGTGTGTGTGCGCTCCTCTCCTCCCCTTCCTACGTGCTGGAAATGATAGCCAGTCTGTGCCCCGAATCAATCTCTTTATCCTAGCAATGTATATACTTAACGCTCAGTACTCACTAATGAGCTTTGGATTCCTGAATCAAGGAGCACAGCTACCAAGTGGCTAAATAAGCCCGTTGATTGGAGATGTTACCAAGGACCACATTTTTCTAGAATAAGTAATAGGCCACTGAGGACTCGTTGTGTAATACTGCTACCAGGCAGACATTTCAGTGGATGTACACTGGAGGAATGTGGCGTCTTTTGGAGCTGTTAGGGCAGGAAATTATCAAAGAATAGTGAGATACTACATGAATGCGGGAGCAACTTTATGCAGTGAATTCGTACATGTGTCCTTGAAACCATCACACAGAATTAAGCCAAAAGTGTACTAAGTGTACTAGTGGAAGCAGACAAACTGACTAGGGCTGGGGACTGGCTGGCATTTGCAAAACAGCCAGAAGAATTAATTTTTGTTGTGTAGCACTGAGGCTGCTAGATAATTGAGGGGGATGCCTCCTAAATGGCTGTGACCTCCTTTGGACGACAGAGATGTGTTTGAAAATGGAGGGGACATGAGGATGTGCTCATTTCTCATGCAAGATGAAGTGGGAGGGAGACTACAGCTTGACTTGTAAGATAGAGCTTCTGGCACAGAGAAGCATTGCATGGGTGTTGAGGCTGTGGACCTGAGTAAGTAAGCTGTCAGATTATATTTAGCAGATATACACTGCAGAAAAGCGCAGAGAAGGAGGGGAACTAAAGCATAGCTGGGCTCCGTGGGTAGTGAGCACACAGAGCAAGGAATGAGGCTATTTAGAGAATGAATTGCCTTGGTGCTTCTGATTCAAATAAATCTCTGTGTGAGGCCAGGGTTGTGCACAGACCTGTATGATGTTCCTGAACAGCAGAGCTCAGCTTTATTTACCCTTTAGTAATAGCTCAGCTACAGATGCTTAGGTGAAGGGTGACCAGCCCGTGGCCTTTGAGCCATTCACCTCTTGCCCCACAGGAGGGTTGTCTCCTGCAGCAATACCATTACCTGGATGTGGAAGCAGTAGGGGCTCTTGAAACCAACGTTGCAGCTGCTGTACACCGCAGCTGCTCACAGTGCTAAAGAGACAAATGTGGAAAAAATAAATATCTTGTATGAGACAGATTAAACCCTATATGCTGGTTGATGTGTAGTAGTTGGTTGTTTGGATCCTGTTTTGTATTCCAGGGCTACATTTTGTCCTGAATCTCTGCCTGCTCATGAGATGATAGCCCCAGTGCAGTAAGTTGGCCTGATGTGGGCTGCCAGAGGAAGGGAAGGTGTGTTTTTCTTGGGTATGTCCATCATAAAATCATAAATAATGGAGCTTTCTCATGATTAGACTCCTGCTTTCATTATGGTCCCAAGATGTAGGATTGCATGCACATGATTTCAGAAATCTGCTCATACATAGGGAAGGAATAGAGCTGCAAAGAGACAGCTTGTCTCATGTGAGAAATCTGTGCCAGATGTGTGCAGTGACCCTATGCTACCTGAGAATCAGGTCACTGCTTTAACTGTGAAGAGCGACCTTATGCTGATCTGCGAGTAGTTTGCAAATCACACCAATGCAGGGTGGTGCTTTTAAGTGCTCTGGTGGAAGAGCTGGAGAAACGTATTTTTCATAGCTAGACAGGTAAGCTGATTTTGGTGGGGTGATCAGGTATCCACCAGTAAGGCTACATGCCCACAGAAACATTTATGTTTATATTCTTTTCAAAGAGTTAAATCCTGTGCAAGACAAGGTGGTGGAAAGAGGGGATGTCTTCTTGGGACCTCAAGTAAAATGTTTTTAAGCCAGCATATAGATGTCAGCTTTCATTGTGCAGCATCCTAATCATCTGTGGGAAAGGAAATGTGTGGCAGTCTGCAGCCAGAGAGATAAGGACGAGGTGGAGGAGCTGTGTTTTGATCAGTGCCTTGTGGTTTGAGAAACAATGAGTCCAATTCGGGTAACTTGAAAAGGAGCAAAAGTTAACGTGCCTGCAAGTATGATATTAAAAAAAATAATAACATAGAAAATCCCATAGCCCAACAAATAGCAAACTAAGTAGAGCTGTGAAAGTTATGTGGACAAAGTTGGAGTTCCAGGGTAATAAGTAAAAATGGTTAGGTGAGGAGAAAAAGTTCATAACTTACAGTTGTGGGAGTGGGTTTCTTTGTGTTTGTATTTGTTGTTGAAGAGTGCAAGTAGTAAGGCTATTGTTGGAATAACCTGAGTATTTCACTTGTGACTGATGTTTGCAATGCATCTATCACACAATGTCTTGTTTTGCACTGTTATCAGCCAAAGCAGGCTGGCTGGGGGAGAGAGAATATCTCGTTCTCCTGCATTTTGTATCTTCCCTGCATGCCCAGTTAGGAGCCCGAGTCCCACCAAATCAATGCCTGAACACTCAGAGACATTAGCAAGGACAGGATTTCATGCTCATAGTCTTTAGTGGGAGATTCAAATGCAGAAAGCAGAAATGGGTCATCCTCTACCTTTGGCTCTGCCAGCTTACGTGGGAGAAGAATTTGGCCCCTTGTGTTCAAAATGATTTAGATCTGAAATACTTGCTTTTCTGCTACAGCTCAGCCCTGTGGGGATGCACGTTCTCTGCATGACTTGCCACATAAATGCACAGAATCTAGGGTACAAAAAAAAAAACCCAGAAATCTAAAATGTAGATTCTTCCTAAAAGCATAAGAAGTTGCATCCCTGATATATTTATTGAGTCTTCATGAAGGAAAGAGTCAGAATAGATGTTAGAAGCAAAAAAAAAAAAAAAAAAAAAAGAGAGATGAGAACAAATTCTACTTGCAAGTCTGTTCCACATAGCTCTGGATCCATTTTGGAGAACCTGGAGAGTGGTGACCAAGTGTTTTCTCGTACAATGGAGAAGGGTCGGGCAGTGGTGGTCATCTGTGTCGCATGCCTCTCAGGTTTTCCAGACATAATCATGTGTGTTAAAGCCCTTGCTGGACTATTCTTCTCAACTATGTTTGTAGATAACTGTAATATTCAGTCCTTTGTTGTACACACATTCAGAAATGTCACTTGCAATAAGCATCATCCACAACCTGTCTCTGAGAGACAGAGATGGAGAGAGTGGGAGAGAGAGTGTGTGTGACATGATATAGAATGAGCTGGCAGCTATACCACTGAATTTGCCTTACACCAAATCAGTATCAAACCTGCCTTTGGTGTCTGCACCTTCAAACCAGACAAAAAGAGCCACTTAACAATACCAGCCTCTTGCTTGGCCCAGACCACTGTATCACAGCCATGTTCTTCATTGCCTGGGAACTATTGTTGTTCTTACTTCTGTTCAGCAGAACAAATCAGGGTGCTGACCTTGTGACTCTTGACTAGTTTGTAACAGGAGGGGGAAAGCTTAGACTGTGACTCTTTACTGCTGCAAGCTCACTCATGATTCAGAGATGTCGTTGATTTTGAGATGAATGATGAATTCTTTATTCTCCCCCTCAGAGAAGACAACGTGGGAAGGCCTGGCTGCCTTCTGCATATAAATGCTCTGTCAAACCAATTCCAGGCTGAGGTGGGGGAAGCTGATGGGGAGCTATTGTTCTCTATCTCCTATTACTACTGCATCCTTGAGATGTGTGCTGTTACCATACAGTCTAAGGCACCTGTGGTTCAGCAAGGGCTGGAATGATCCCCGGTGCTGGCTAGGGGCGAGGCCAGAAAGGATGAAGATGGAGGTGCAGATTGATGGCAAACAGAAGCTGTGCAGAGAGGAGCTGCCTTCGCAGATAGTGAGAGTGCTTGACCAGATGTGTGATGGAAGCAGGAAGGATGGCTTTGCAGATGTGGTTTATTATCCTTCCCAGGCAAAGCAGTTATGCTCATCTCAGATACAACACACGGTTGTTTGTTGGCTCCTATGAATATAAAAAGCCCTACAAACTTTTTAAAGTGGTTGATGTGGTTAAAACATGATTACAAACAGGACAGGATCGAAAAAGCTCCAGGGGCCAAGTTCCTGGAGTTATGTGAGTACCTAAGAATCTGAACTTTAATTAAAACCAGGAAGAAACTGAAACCTCAGAGAATGTTTCTAACCATTGTAGCTGAAGAGGAAACTTGCAAGTATGAAGAGATCATAAGTAAGCCAGTAACATCTGATTGAGTCTGTAGCAAGCCTGAAACAATAGCTGAGAGAGGGTGATTTTCCCATGCGCTGCAGTGGAGCATTAACTGTGTAATCAGCCCTGTAGGGTCTATCTTCTAAGTAGTCATGTCAGATGGACCTGGGGAATGCCACAGGGGTCAGGACAGGATGGAAAGGGACTGAAAATTGGCTTGGTATCTTTGAGAAGAAATACTAGCAGGAAAGAAAAACAAATTGGTACATTTTTTTCTTCCCCTCCTTCTCTGAGTGCTTTGTTCTTTGAACCTTGAAAGGGAACCTGATGATCAGCTGTGCTTTTTGCTGGCTTGTCTTTGAGACCATTAGTTGCCTGTGTTCTTTTAAAGCTGAAATGTTAGGAAGAGATCATTATTTTTCCTCTTTAGCTTGACCTCTTCCTCCCTTGGAGAGTTTCTCCCCATGTACTGGCTCCATCCTTCTCACACAATGCTATGTTAAAATAACATTCAAGAGAAAACTTGAATTCCTTGGGAAAAAAGAAAGCTTGATATTTAGAATGAGACACGTCCTAGAACAGAAAGACACAGTGTCTGCAACATGTCCTGTGCCTCTCCAGAGGTGCTGTGAGGTGGTGGATGTCAGTCACGCACTGCCTCTGTCTGTTTCTGAAATAGCGGTGTTAGTGCAAACACTTCCCTAAGATGTGAACTACCCCATGGGTAACTTGTGCCCTGTGAATAGTAGGCACTTTACCCAGCAGCAGTTTATCATGAGTGGAAAGGTTATCTGTGGTTACGATCTTGATTGCCCAGCAAATTGCTGAATGCCTGCGGAATTGGAGGAGAATGTGCAGCTGCAGGGTGTGTGGGTTCTTCACTGTTTCACAGCAAGGGCTGGGTGCTGAGTGCTTAAGATGCCACAGGATCCCAATAGCATTTGTTGCAGGCACTGGATGTATGAGCCTCATTCTGTACCAGGCCACCTTGAGGTTGTGGCATAGCCTGGAGTGTTAAATACGCCACTGTTCCCTTTGGGTGCTTTGCATTATGAGGCTAGCAAAGATCTGCATCCAGCCAGAGGCAGATCAACACTATTTGAACTAGCCAGGATGGCACAACTATGTCTTCGTTGAGTTGCATACTTCAGCTACAGATTATTTTTTTAATTCCCCCAGTTTTCGCTCTTTCCCCCATCCCTGCAGTAAATGCTACCTGCCAGCTAAAGGGCATGGGCCTATTTATATGGTCAGTACACATGACCATCTGTTTGGTGTCAAAATGCTTTGCCCTTTGTGCAGCTGCAGATCTGCTTGGCTCCATGTGATACAGTGGTGCAGGGATTTGAGGCTTTTGTTTCTGTTGTTTACAAAACATGAAATTTGTTTTTTTGTGAAGGAAAAAATGTTCAGAAATGAAAACGTCATGAAGCTATAACAGAGCTCCTTACACAAATTAAGTGAAATCCTGCAGCATGATGTGTCAGAGGTCCGACCAGGTCATCTGTCCAAATGGGATTAGGGATTGTGCCATTCTGTCTTCCGTATAGCACGTATAACAAAGAAAATAGAAGAGATTTTTGATTGCCATGCCTTCCCATGGTGCCAAAAATAGTGGCCTCCAAGCTATCCCGTTATTACTTCTCTCTAATTAAGAATTGGTAATTCAGACTGTGGTATGTAGGACACACAGAGTGCCCAGCTGTGAGATTGCACATGACCAAATGATTTGCTTGTCTGGGCAAGTTTTGTGCACAGGGACTCCCTTGGGTGATGGGCAGAGGTGAAAATCTGATGTGTGTGAGGGAGCTTGGAGTAAGCTAAATGCTTACCTTTCTTTTTCCTAGGGACTGTTTTCCCAGTGTGTTTAGGTGGAAAATACAATTGCTTCCCAGTCTTGAAGCTGTTGTACCAAGGGAAAATATTGCACAAAAGAATTTTTTAAAGTTGGAGAAGTTAACGTGTGGAATACTGTAATTGGGGCTCAGAGAGTATAAAAACTTAAAATTAGTTTAGCACATCACTTGGCAGATGGAAAGTCGATTATGTAAATCTAGGAAAGTGGTAGTTGGATTTGGTTGGTCTAATTTAAACGCTGCTTCTAATCATTTTCACTGTGTGTACAGAGAATTATAGGATAACCATTATTCTGCCAAGAGGGCTCTTCATATTTAAATTTAAATCCACGAAAGAGTACCCTATTAAAATGTAAACATGCTGTGATAACAAGCAGCTAATTATGCAGGCAGGTTAGTCCAGCTGCTCTGCTGGGCAGCTGTGCACACGTACTTCAGATGAGGCCCTTTCTTATAGCCTAGAAGTCGCTAGCAGGGTCACTGTGGGGTCAGGGGGTGCCTGGGCTGATGCTGATCTGTGCGCAGATGGGCCCTCACACGTTACTGGCGAAGCCAAGTCCTGACAGCACCAGGAGCACAGCGATGGCAGCTCTACCCTCCCCTCAGCCTGGTGCCTCCACCTCAACTGTAATCTCTGAGCGGAGTCTTTGGAGAACCTTCCTCATTGCCTCTTGACGGCTTTCTCGTTTTGCCAAGAGGAAGATCATGCAGATTCAGAGGGGAGCTGCCAAATGACAGCTTGGTTCGATACCTGGGTAGTAAATGAAGGGAGAAGGGAAGCCTCAGCCTGGCCCCAGCGCCCGGGAGCGTGGGTGTGAGCAACCGCTGGGCCTGCAGCAGGCGGTGTGACGGGGGGCAGGAGGGACACGGGGCCTGGGACCGATGGTGGAGGTGGCATACACCAGCGGGAGGCCGTTTTTGCAGATGTGAGCCCCGTGCCACCTCGCATCACTTTGCACGTTGACGTCGCTTGGCTTTTCTTCCTTTGCAGCAGGGGCTCAGACCGCATCTCTCAAAAGGCAGTGAGCAGAAGGACCGACGCCTAGGCTTTATTCCTTCACTGCAGCACGACCCGCGCGTTTGGATGCGGAACTCCTGCTTTACAGCCGCAGGGGTCGGGAGGCCCGGGCTGCCGGAAGCACGAGCGGCACTCTGCAGGCGGAGCGGCGCGCGCTGCTCCCGCGCGGCCGGAGCTGCGGCCCCCAGCCCGTCCCGCGGCCCCGGCCCCGCTCCTCCGGGCCGGAAGCGGGCGCGCGGGGACAGGAGGAGGGCGGCGGGGGGGGGGGCGCGCATGCGCAGGAGCAGCCGCCGGCCGCGCCCCGCCCCCGGCGCGGAGGGGGTCTGGCGCGCTCCCTGTCCGCGGCGCGAGGCCGGGCCCGGCGGCGGGGAGCGGCGCGGCGGGAGGGCGTGAGGGAGGGCGGGCGTGCGGCGGACGGTCGGACGAGCGGACGGTCGGGGTGAGAGGATGTGAAGATGGCGGAGCTGCAAATGCTGCTGGAGGAGGAGATCCCGGGGGGGCGCCGGGCCCTGTTCGACAGCTACACGAACCTGGAGCGGGTGGCCGAGTACTGCGAGACCAACTACATCCAGGTGCGGCGGGGCGGGGCGCCAACGGCCGCGCCTAACGGTCGCCGTCCGCGCGGCGCGGTGCTGAGGCGGCGGGCGTCCTCCCCCGCTCGGCGCCGCAGCGGGCCCGGGGCGCCTGAGGGCGGGGGAGCGGGCGCTGAGGGAGCGGGCCGGGCCGCCTCGTGCCTCTCGGCCGCGTGCGGCTGCGGACGGCGGTGGGGCGACGCGACGAGCCTCGGAGAAACCTCGGTGCCGTACGTTCGGCGGCCGCGCTCCTCAGCGCGCGGCACGGCGACACGCGCTCGGGTCGCGTCGTGTGGCCGAACGGAAGAGCGTCCCCGAAACAAAACGGGACGGCAGTGTCGGTAACGGCCGAGGGTCGTAACGCCGTGGGTTTGCGGTGTCGGTGCTGAGCCGAGTGCGAGGGCTCCCGGCGTTTGTGCCTTCCGTCCCCGACGGCGCTCGTGTGCCGGCTGGGGGCGGGGGAGCGGCCGTGCCCGGGTGGGCGAGACGAGGGGGAAGAGCCGGCGGTGTGCCGGGCGGGTGCTGGGGCGCCGACCGACCGCTGGTGAGACATCCCTGCGGGTCTGGGGTCATTTACCAAACACGGGGGTGCAATTCATAACGTTTCGGCGTGACTTAGCTTGACTTACGTTCTTTAAGAGAAACGCAATGAAGTATTATTGTCATAAATGGACATACGTGCATTTAAATTTGTGCTGTTTTAAGAAGAAGGAAAGGGATCTTTTTCTGGAAGCGGAGCCGTGAAAGGCAGAACTGGATAGGAAGAGGTGGATTTAGCTTGTTGTTATGCTCTTCCCGTGACCTTTTTCCGTTCTCTTCTTGTAAACCAAGGATTATAAAATCCGTATTGAACAGCTCCACTTTTATTGTTTCAGTAAAAACTGCAGAGCAAGATTCCGTGGTGTTTCATGCAGAGAATGAAAAGAGAGGGTTCTTCCTGCAGCCGGCATACGGCCCATAAGGACAGCCTGAGCTGGGGACAGCCAGCTGGTGAGGGAGAGCAGGGGGTGAGGCTTGGTTGGTCAGCCCGCTGGGTTCTGGCTGCCGTGCAGCACACCGCGGTTGTTGGCAATTTGTCTGAGCGTCTCAGTGACACGGGGCTGTAAGAGGGAGCTGAGAATGGACGACAGAAATTGCGCTGTGGTGCTGCTGACTGTGAGGTGCTGTATGGGATCACAGATTGGAATCTTTATTTAGATTTTAAACAAGTGGGGAGCAGAGGATCGTAGCTAGGTGATGGTGATGGGCATTGGCCTTTGGAGTTGGCAGAGAGACTGCAAGGATGACGTTGTTGCAGAGGAGTCCAACTTGAGGGATTTAGTGACACGAGCGTCCTTGTAACAAATCTGATGGAGAACTCACCCCATATTCTCCATGCTGGAACTGCATAAACTCTTCATTGGGATAAATACCCAAAGCCGTTTTGTTTTGTTTTCCTTCTGCAAGAGTAGAAATAGGTAAATGGATACAACTAACATCACTGGGGATTTTGTTTCCAATAATAGTAATTCCAAAAATCAATATACCCAATTAAGTCGAAGTTATATATTTTTAAAAAGCTTGGATTTGGTGAAGATGTGCATGTAATTGCTTGGAGATGCGTGGGAGAGTAATGTTCCAGAAAGTCAGAAAATCTTCCAGAAGATTGACTAGTTCTACTGCAATCTTTTAATGTTCCATTGTTGACAGAAGGTTTTATCGTGGATATTCTTGAGGTCTCCTGGCAGAGGCTCAGCGTATGACTGAGATCTGAGTTTGATCTGCTGGATGATAGGCAGCACAGCGATCGGGGCTTGCAGGAATTACACTGGCCTGTATTTGTCAGTAGACAAGCCCAGTTGGTGCTTTGAGGTTATTTTATTGCCAGGTACATAAATTGTTGCAAAAAGCAGAGGCGTTGGTCAACTTTTTAGAGAATTTGAAGTTCATTGCTAAGATAAATGTGTTTTCTCTCTGTCTCCATTAACAATGACATAGCAGCTTCAGAATAATGGAACAGGTAATCTCTTGCATGTTGGGACTGACAGGTCACAGTCAGAGAGCTGTGGTGGTTGCAACTCATTTGATTTCTACTTATGAAGTGAAGAACATTCCTTAAATATCGGTGGTTTATTATACAAATCGTGATTGGTACTTAGAGAGCTCAGTTACTTTAGCAACAGAAAATGTTAAATGAACTGTTACGGTTCTCTAAAGTCTGTGATAGCAGCATATCAGAGCACATCAGCTTAAAATTTTGTGATTAGTCACTAGGAAATATAGCAAATATGTAGTAAACAGAACTGCAGCAATGAAAGATGAAAAGCTACTGTTTGAATTAAAAAAAAAAAAAAAAAAAAAAAGCTTTTTCATTCAGTATTTTTCAATAATGATTGTTTCTTTTAAATTTTCTCTTGGGGGTAATTCTGTCTCCCAGCTCCCCAGCCAACCAGCTGCCTTGTGAGGTGATGTATTTATCAACGGGCACTATTCAGAAATAGGAAAATAATTTGCAAGAAGAATCACCTGCATAGTACAACAGTTAGTTCAGTACATTTTCTGTGATTATTTTACTTTAAATAAGAATATCAGTGTATATTTTTGGAAAGCTTTAAGTGTAAGGGCACAAATCAGACAGTTTGATCTGCTTCTGTTATTACTAATATCAAATAACTTTGCTTACCAGGTAGCTCTTCTCGTTACTGTAGAAATCACAGAATTACTTCTCTGTTGTACTTTTTAAAGAGGTGGTAAATCTGCATTTTTATTTTGGAAGAGACTTTTGTGGGATTTGATACAATGTTAATCGTGGGTTGAATTGTATACTGTTTGTACTTTGTGTAGTAATGCCGTATTCTGATACTGAGTTCTCAGTCTAAACTGCAACAAAGTAGTTCTATAAAATCTGATTATTTGATGCGCTTGTTGCTATAAAAACATGTTTACAGCCTGTATTGATTTATGTGTCTTCCATGAAAAGCAGGAAGACTTAACTGGACAGTGCACTGTGCTTATAAGATTTTCATATTCCTGCATTATTTTTTTATCAGGACTGTCATACAGAAAGTATCTGGTTATGATGATGTAAACAACAAATGACCTTTTAAGCACTGATGTGACTTGCTTGGTTTATTACTGGTATACCAGTTTAAGTTCCAGCACTGCATTAGCCTTTCCACTTTCTTTGAACTTATTCTGAGAAGGTCTATTTTGGGCTCATCTCTACCTTGTTTCTAATGATCGTAACTCTTAAAAATGAAATCAGGTTTTCACTTAGTGCATTGAATTTCTAGTGTGATGGAATGCTTGTATCTGAACTCACTGTTTTGAAAGAGCCAGAAAGAATTCCCAGATGGCTGTTTTTTGGCCACTGGATATCTAGCAGGACCAGATTCAGGGTGGTGGGAAGGCCCAAGAGCAGAACAGCATGCAGAGCTGGGTGAAAAGCTGTGCCCTGTCTTGCTTGCAAGTGTGTGTGCTGCGTTCTCCAGATTCTTCAAACAGGATCTACATTTCTTAGTCTTTCAAGACTATTATGCTTTGTCTTCTGGAGACGAAGAATCAGCTTCCCGTTTCCCTCACTTCACGGCCTTCAGGTTGCTGTGGACATTGAGTCTTGTACACAGAAATAACCTTCTCATATTTGGAAGGGAAAGGCTAGGAAGAGTATTTTTATTCCTGTTCTGAAGTATTCCATCCTTCTAGTATTAGAACTACCTGCTTTCAGACCCTGCAGATTGCTGTATTTAAATAAACATAATGGTGAGAATTACCTGTTTCTCAGTAGTTTTATGATAGTCCATGGGACGATGGGTTTCTTTGTTATTTTCCACATGCCTGTTAATTTTACCTGGTCCTGTAAAGCCAAACCAAGTCATTGTACCTTTAACAGCATCTTCTAGTAGGGTGAAGAAGAGAATGGAACATCCATTTGCATAGAAGTTGCAATTTCTGTAATTATGACAGCTTGAGTCTTAAAACAGGAAACTTCTGTGAACTGTCAATACCTTACGTATTTATTGAAGTTCCAGAATGAGCTTTGTTTTCTTTACTTGAGGTACATATCACCTTAACAAAAGGTAACTATACTAGAAGTATTAAAAAGTAACAGGAGAGCGCTGCTTATGCATCTTAAAGTTGAATTTTCTTAAATAAAATTGTGAGGCAGTAGTTTGGCACACACTGTACCTTCCTGGGTTGCAACTATATGAAATGGTTGCAGAAACTTCTACAGCACCTCTCTGCTCAAGGCTTATGGAGCACTTGCTGGTAGGTTGGTGAGTTTTATGAGATAATCAAAGCATGGGACCAATCCTCTGAGTTTTCTTCTGAGAGTCAGAGAAGCTGCTAAGGTTGGTGAAGGATTTATGTCTCTGCTTCCATCTGCTTTATCTGAGCTGTGTTTTGCCAGGAAAGCAAATTTAATTCATTTAATAGTGTCACAAGTTCAAACAGGGGCTCAGAAAGGGTGGAATTGATTTTTTTATTGAGTAGTTGTGGTAATAGGGTGAGCCATTTTATCAGTGGTAACAGGAGTTATAACAGTAACACTGCATGTAGACAAAGTAAAACTTATGAATACACAAGTTGCCATTAAGAAGTAAGTCTTGTATCACCATTAGTTACAAGTCTCATTTTTGTAGTTCCCTCCTACAGCTTATTTTCTGATTGTAGTTATTGAATACCATTTAATAAGACTGAATAAGAATTGTAATTCAGAGTAACAGCCTCCTTAATAAGTATATTAATAAGTTTGCTGACACTTGTTTTCTACTGCTTGTGTTTGATTGGTGTTTGCAGCCATTAATCTTTGTGGCTTAGCACTGTAGTTTTTAAGGCAGGAAGTGGTGTACCACTGTGGTGATGTACAACAAGACGTCTAGTCAGTACTCGAAGAAATGAAGTCTTACCCACTTACATTCAGCATGTTATTTCATTGGAGAAGAGAACAGATGAGTTTTATCTGCCATGGTTTGTAGCAAGCGTTCTGTAGAAAGTACATGCCAAACTCTCATGGCCTGTTTTAGTGGACTTTTTTTCCCCACAAATTCTGTTTTTACCTCTAATTGTGCACCTGAAATTAACATATTAGTTAGTAAATAAAGTTACCCAAGTTTTGTTCAGTATCTTTGTTCTGCTTCCCCCCCCCCCCCCCCCCAAAAAAAAAAAAAAATTTTCTTTCAACAGGTTTTTGGCGATACTAGGGAAAGTATTTACAGGTAGAGCAATAGTCCTGTTCAGAAAGAATAGCACTCACCCAGCTGGTGAAGGGGTTCTCTGGCTGTGCAGCACTCCTTGTCAGCAGCCCAGGTCCAAGAGATGCTCTCCTTCAGAGGCCGGCCCTTATAATGAGCCCAGGGGC